GTTTTTTTTTTTTTTTTTTTTTGGTACCAGTGATTAAACTCGGGACCTCATGCTTGCCAGGCAGGTGCTGTGCTGCCGGGCTAAATCCCTAGCCCTTTTTTTTAAATGTTTAGAAACAGCGTATATTCTCTGTCACTTCACCCTTCCCTACTTTCCTCCCTCCCCCATGGGTCTGTAGTCCATCCTTTCAGGGAGGCTCCTGCTTCAGCCTTTTGAGTGTTGGGATTACAGATGTGCACCATGACCAGCTATAGACTCTCTCTAAAAGGAATAACAGTATCATTCAGAGAGACTGGTAAAAGTGGATCAGAGAAGATGTGCTGTGTTGTGCCCACCTTCGCGAGTTCATCCTGACAGTCCTGAGAATAGAACACCTGCCAGAGCCTGCAGCTGTTGAGTGGGGTGTGAAGCTCGGACTCAAACTGACGCAAGATGCAGTCCCGGCTGCTTTGGACAGCAGCAGAAAGCTCAAGCTGGGCCTCACACCTACTTCTGTGTGGTTTATGATCCAGGTTAAAGTTCAGAAAGTGGGAGAGACAAAATACAGCAGTGGAGGAAGGAACACAGAGAGTGTCAGCTCGTCACTCGGGCAGCTGGAATGGATGGCAACGAGTGATTAACTCTGCGGCGTATTTCCTTATGTATTTATTTATTGAACACCTACCAGGTCCAAGGCCCTGAGCTAGGTCCTAGTGGGACACCAGTTCACATGAGACGCCTCAAAAGACCAATCCTAAGGATTAAGGAAGTATTTGTTTGCCTTGATGAAACAACGATAACAAATGACATCCACATCCACATCCACACAAATAAGAATTTGTGGGTGCTTGCTGCTCCACTGGATTTTGTTTTGTTGCTAAGTGATCCAACAATTTCTTCAGAAAATTTTTAGGGCAAAGCTTCAAATATTAACAAAATTAGAAAACTAAGGAGCTGCACGTTCATATTTATCCAAGGTTGCACTGAAACATTAGCTAGGCATGGCAGCACCTGTCTGTAATCCCAGACATGGAGGCAGAGGGCCGAGGCAGGAGGATTACAAGTTTGAGGCCATTCAACTCAGTGAGGCCTTGTCTCAGAATAAAATTTAAAGAAACAGCTGGGGATGCAACTCAGCGGCAGGGCACTTTCCTATCTGCATGAGGCACTGTGTTCGATCCCTGGTACTGCAATAAATAAACAAATAAACAAACTTTTTGGACATGATATTCATGGAGACATGTCAAAGTGGGCCACGCTGCCTTATGAAGCTATATATGCACAGATATCTGTATCTGTATACCTGGTGTGTGGCAGGGAGGGGTTCTTGTTGACTTTGGGTCATAATCATGTGTGGTTATTATTATGGTACAGTTAAAAAAAGTTTGGGCTAGGGTTAAAGTTAGGATTATCACACCAACCCTAGTTATGATTATAATTCCTTCATATAGCAAATCTTTTTTATAATTTTACTCACCTAATTTCAGTAATTTTTGAGTACCTGAAGTAAACAGCAATAATGTTTTTCTGGGACCCCGTAGTCACCAACATCTTCATCAGAAACACATTTTAATATATGTCATCTTTTTTGGGGGGGTACCAGGGATCGAACTCTAGTCCTTGCGCTAACACATTTTTAATATAAGGAGCCTACATGCCAATAACTAGAATTCCTCACCTTCTAACACTCTTCTCTACTTTCCTCTTAGTGTAGGCTCCCTGGACCCACTTCCATGCTTCTGCCTGTCACTTTCTTGGGTTGCACTCTTTTTGGGATTCTGGAGTACTTTTGACTTACAGTGCAATGTCATGCCTAAGAAAAGAACTGGACTACCCTTAAAAATTAGCTACCAAGCCTGCTCTAGAGTTCACTGAAATGTCTAAGGACTGAGAAGAAAGCACTAAAATTGCCAAAACCTAGGAGAATCAACACACTAGTATGAATACATTTTAAGATGCAAATGATTGTCTTAGGTCTTTGTTTGAACCAAGGGAGTCTCAGAAAACCAGAGTTAAGGAAGTGAGGGGTAAGGAAAATTTTGACACTGAAAAATGGTAAACAGAAATGAAAGACTCCAGGGAGAGACACTTCGCAGCATGTCACCAGGTCTTGGCTCCTTTATCAATTAAGGATGGACCAAGTCACAGGGCAAGTGACACCAGCTTTCTCATTTGCTCAGGTCTGTGTGGCCAAGGACTCAGGTGGCTTCGGATGGGACATTTTCAGTTTTAAAGCAACAAAGTTCTTGGCAATCCCTGGATCACCCAAACAATATTTCATACCCAGTGTGGCTCCAAGGCTGGCCATCTTAGCTGGAAATCAGATTTCAGAGTAACAGTCTAAGGGCATCTTCCATGACCCAGAGGCACCATGAGATATTTGCTTCTGTTTATGGGAGCTCCTGCTGCCTGCTTTTTGGTCTTTACTGTGAATGCAGAAAGCAGCTGATCCATCATCTCTCTGGTCTTTTAACCTTCATGAAATTCTACTCACGTCAAGTGCAGTGGGGGGGACATCTTGGCCAATGGCAGACCACATACATGTATGAAGATGGCCCCATACGGTTTAACACCTGGTGATGTCAAAGCTGTCTTCATCTGTCTACGTACATTCCAAGATGTGCACCAAAAGCGTGTTTCCTAGACTGTGTCTTGGTCAGTAAGCGATATATGAGTATATTCCCACATGGATAAATATTAAGTAAACTGGCTGTAATTAAAGCAGTTAGTTTCTTCAGGGTTTGAATGCTATGGTTTATGATCTTAAAATAATAAAACAGATGTTGGAATTTTTATAAGTAACCTAATTCTGCTGCTAGCTGTATTCAATATTTATTTTTGGCCAACAGGTACCAAGTTTTTCTTTTCCTAGCTTTCTGAGAATAAAATGATGAGCCAGGGCTAGGGGTGTAGGTCAACGGTAGAGCTCACGCTTAGTGTGCAGGAGGCCCTGGCTCCATCGCCAGCATAATAGCACTTTTAATGCAGGAACCTAGGCTTTAAGATAAATTAAGCCTCATCATTGTAAAAGAGATAAAGTAAGATTTTTTAAAATAACGAAAAAGTGCTATTATAAACGGGGCATGGGGAGAAGCAGATCCAATAAGGTGTGGCTGTGACCAGGTGAACTGTCTTGTTGACTTACACAGGAGGTGATTCATTGGACATTGCTTCAACCAGCTGTGACAGTCAGTCACTTTCAAAGCTGAACTGAGGGCCTCCTACGAGACAAGTGCTGTTCTAGGCCACATCTACACCCATACCCCCATGAAACAGTTTTTGACTTAAAGAATTCACAGTTTGGTGGAGTTGAGCCCTTAGCTGTAGAGGCAGGTTCAAAATGTTATGAAGATAGGAAAGGAGGCTTCTGCTTGTGATACCAGCACTGAGAAATCCAAATCAGGAATGTGTCTCAAGGCAGATGCCATGAATTGGGCAGTAAGAGGAGGCAGGGAAGGGGGCGTCCGTCACAGGACCCAGTGTGCACATCGGCAAGGAAGCGCGTGAGCCGGTGCAATGGAAGAGGCCAGATGGGAAACAGGGAGACACGAAGGAAGCTGGGCACCTGGGTTAAGAACACATGGCCTCGTGTGAAGGCAGTCTAAACAATGAAGTGGGAGGAGGGGACAGGGAAGGGGCGGGGAGGGGAAGGAAGGAGGGCAGGAATTTAAATAGTCTATATTTTTATGAAAACCTTTAGATAAGAAAAATGATAACATCTTTGCAAGGTATGGAAGCCGGTAAGAAAGAATGGGGACAGTTGGCTAAATTATAGGAACATCCAGTTCCTTCTGGATTTTTAGTCTAAGGTGTCTGTCAGATAAGGAAGAGGTACTGGCAAGGTTCATGCCTGACTTGTGGAGTCGAATTCATAATTGTAAGTATTGTTCATAACATCACGTACCTGGCCTACCTGCCTAACATAATCATGCATCGGGATGGACTCCTGGTGTCACCACTGCCCTTCTCCCTTCCCTGCAAGGAGCTCCACCAGCTGCCAGGACCCCTCCACTCCTGCTCTGGGGACTCCAGCCCTTCTCCCCCTGCCTAGCAGCGCCTGATCCCAGGGTGAGTTTAGAAACACACTCAGTCTTCTCATCCATGGACCCCGGCTGCGCAAAACATATGAGCGAATGAACACAATCTATATCTAATCGCTCATTTATCTACAAAGCCTACTAAACCTGGATTGCAAAAGATCGAATGTCCCTTTGCGCGGATTTCGATAGCACTGAGTTTGAGCAAGTCAAGCGCTTTGGGCTGCTGCGCTTTGCTGTTCACTTAGCAGTGACCAAGGCTTTCTGCATTTTTTGCTTTGTTTCCTTTCCTTCTATCCCATGTATTGTG